AGCACCGCCAAATTGCCCCGATCCAGATGCCTACGGAGGTTATCTGTGAGGTGTGGAGTAACATGAAATGCGTGAAGAATTCTTAACAAAAAAGGGGAATACTATATACTTGGACGTCATATTGCACCCACAGCTGCATAATGGATGTGTGAATTTTTTGGGGGGGTCATTTGTGTAACAACATATAACCAGGTTGAAGGGAACACAGATAGATAATACCTCACCTCTTTTGTTTGATGTCATTTGTTCCACCTCTTTTTCTGCTGACAACCAGTGAGATCTGATAGAATGTTGGGAGGAGAACTGGCAGTTGGAATCACTTCAGTGTTACTTGAAATCTTCAGTAAAAGTTAACTCCTTTCTGTGGTTAATTCTTTTGATGGAATGTGTTGTGTCTGCGGGGAAGAAACACACACACAAATCTATGGCTTATATATTTGTTGAGATATATCTAAATGGTGGCAGTATGAAAGGGAAGTAGGGATTGGATTCCCAAACCCAGTAACTATTTGAATTATCTGGGTGAGGGTGGATGATAGGGAGACCAGGTGTGTCAAATATGCCCAAGGGACTATTAGGATCTCAATGAAGGCATTCTCTAGATACAAACCTCTTTGGGGTTGCATCTTCCATTACTTAAGGTGCATTAATGCAATCTGAATCTTATAAAATGCCTTTTCATACTTTATATATCCACTCCAACCCTAACAGGGAGGATGCAGTGAAGCTTTCTGAAGCTGGCAGAATCTCTTCGCTTACAGCCAGGGGGAAGGGGGGAAGTGGAGAAGAGTTGCCCAAATCAGTAACAGCCAAACTAAGAAGAAATGGGAATTTGAAAACATAAAACCCTTTGTCTCTTAGCTTGGATGCCATGGCTAACTTCAGAAAGCTCCACTCAGTCCGTCTGAGGGGAAGGGTGCAGCTTTCTAAAGCTAGCCAAGTTCTTATTACAGCTGGGAAGGCGAGTGAACAAATGTTGTCAAGAGAAGTAGCAGGCAAGCTAAGAAACAATAAGATGATGGGTTTTCACCACAATAAAATTTGTAGGCATCATGATAACATGGCACCTGTATCAAACTCTGACTTGCAATGCAGTCCTAATTAGAGTTACACCCTTCTAAATCCATCGAAGTCAATGGACACTTTTCAGTTATCTTTTCATATTAACCACTCTCCTTGGTATGTTAGAGAAGTCTGTGTGTGACTATGAGAGGGTGTGTTTTTATATGCTGTGTGTGTGAGAGTATGAGAGGGTGTGTTTTTTATATGCTGGAGCAGTCAACCCCCCCTCCCCCGGTTGCAGTATGACATGATGCAGACCAATGGTAAATGCTGTTTATTTCATATTTCAGCTTTTGGTGAAAGGTATTGCTAGGAAACTTATGTTCGCAGAAAACTGCACATAAACATGAAACATTATTTGTTTTATAGATGATATTTGCATATCATGTCCTAGGTAGTGATACTTTCAGAGCGATAGCTGTATTTATTTCCTGCAACCCACCATGAAGCCCTGACCTGGTTAGTACGGTCTAACTTGATCTCATCAAATCTCAAAAGGTAAGGAGGGTTGGTCCTGGTCAGTATTTGGATGGGAGACCACCAAGGAATACCAGGGTCACTACACAGAGGCAGGCAATTGCCTTGAAAGCCCTACAGGATCACCATAAGTTGGCTGCAACTTGACAGCAAAAAAGAGAGAGAAAGAAACCATCATGAGTTGAAGGTGTATATAACAGGTTCAGTGCTGTCTGGTAATAACTAGTATGTTGTAGTATTATCAAGTAAAGTATTGTACAACTTTAGAAAGGTATGCATTTTTCTCCACTTTAATTTATTATGCAACTAGGAGGGAAGCTCGTTGTAGGGAGAAGACAACGAGCCCTAGAAAGACAGGGGGGGCCGTCCCGCGCTTTTCTCCCCCCTCCGCAGACCCCGGGGTTGGTGGGCGGTGACTGGCTTCCTGGGCAGCTGCGGCCAGGGCCTCCAGGCGCCTCAGCGGGCTAGTACAGCTGTGGTGGCAGCAGGCCCAGGCTCGTCCCAATGAACCCGTGGCTGGTGAAGGGGCTGGGTTGCCCATCACATGGGATCGAAGTGACGTCCTTCCGCCCACTTCCCCCCCTCCCCAGACCCCAGGGCTGTGCTGCCTGCGGCGGCCTCCGGGCTGGCTTAACGGGTCTTCGGCCAGGTGGCGCACCAGCCCCTGCCTGCTCATAGCCTGGTCACCAATGTGGCTCGGGCCTCGGCGGCCCACGACGGCTGTGCTGCCGGTGGCTAGAGCAGGCTCGGCCCGACAACAACCGGGCGGTGAAGGGGCCGAGGTGCCTGTCGCACCATCCCCCCCTCTCTCCGCCCTTCCCATACCGCTGGGCCCTGCTGTGTTCAGTGGCCTCCGGGCCGCCTCAACGGCTCTTTGTCCCAGTGGTGCGCCAGCCCCCGTCCGCTCACAGGCTGGCCGCCGAGTTGGCCGGGGGTGATGACGACCAGTGTGGGGTGGGAGAAAGGGGATCGGCGAAGCATCCAGCCGCCGGACCACGCATTCCATCTGGCGGCTCCATGCATACTGAGGGCAAGGTGGTGGCTGGGGCTTGTGTGGGTGGGACCCCGCAATGCAGCCAGCCAATGCAGGCAGCACCTTTGGAATGGCAATTCAGGCGGCCAGCTGATTTTGGCGTGAATAGAACTTTGCCACCCCAAATCGCTTTTATTAATATGGAGAGATAGAATTAGCATGGACTGAAATCCTTCAGATCAACAATGCAACTACTGCTTGTGTGCAGAGTCATTCTTGTTCTGTTGTCTCCTTTTATTGTAAAGACTCAATTCTTGAGGATTTTCTTTAATTATGCTTACTTAGTACAATTATGCAAGTTTCTTCTGGTGAACCCAGAACTCTCCACATACGAAAGTTAGAAAATGCAAGATATATTTACTTCCAACTGCTACAATAGCTATCAGAAAAGACACAATTCTCTAATTCTCTTCTGACTTTTAAGGATCAGATGAAAACTTATTTGGATGACAGAAACGTGTTTCCACGTCTGCAACAGACCAGTTGCCTCAAATAGTACCAGAAATAATAGAGTTACTATGTATGTAGTGATCCTGTATGAACCTTGATCTTCAATTATGTATGCTCTGATAGATCAGAAGGAAAGATGGGTCTAGGTGACTTAACCTATTTGGATTCATTTTGGGCATGGCAGCCTAAAGATAAGGAGAATAAGCAGTGTGCTTCTTGATTTCAATGGATTTAGAAGGGTCTAAGTCTGCGTAGGATGCTTCTGACAGTCTACTAAGTCAGCAACTTTAATTGTCAATAGTTGTCCATTATCATCTGTCATCTATGATCAGTTATTCAGAATCCATTTGTAATGTATAGTATTCTTTCTAAGCTGAGGATTCTGGATATATGCTGGAAAGTCTCCATGACATAATGAAAAGCAATTTAAGAATACTTTCGGGCTTATACAAATCACTTATTAAAAATATGTGATCTGAAGTAATTTGTGTCTTTTCACAGTTGTCCAAAAGGTCAATGTATAAAATGTTTTCTTTCTTTTTGATAAAATACCAAATTCTATAACCTGGATGATTTATTTCTAAGTTGTCTCTGCACTGACAACCACCATGTTTTGCATTGTTATTTCACAACTCTGCTGTCAACTGAGCATCTTGCATGAGGAAATGTGAACATTTTCAGAAAACTTTTCAAGTAATTTCTATGGGTTCTTGCACCTCTTTATTCCCTCACTTTGTAGTGTTTAGTATCAAAGTTAGTGCAGTATATCCATTTGAATGCTGTTTCTTTTTTGAGTGTACTTGACTTTGTTGTGATTTTTTCCTAAAAGTCTCATTCATGTGATAATAAAGAGGCAGGGAAGAGGAGGATAAGTAGTAGAAGATGTTTTTTTCCTAGCTTGAAATCTAGTTAACCTATTATCATTTATATTAAGTCAGAGCAGTTCTGAGATTAACGAACACATGGGCAGTTCTTTTGCCTCCACTGTGCTACTTTTAAATAAAAATGTGGCAACACATTCAGCATTGCTGATTTCATGTTGTTTACTATAGAACAAGGTCAGCAGCAGTTCCTTGTAGGCAGGGTAGTACTCCTTTGCCCTAGCATTGCTCTACAGAAAAAAATAAGGAACTTCAGCTTTTCTCTTTTTTTGCACACTAGCAATAATATACCCAGCAGTATCTAGCAGCAAGTGGTTACTAGAACTAGCTGGATCAGAATTAGCTTTTTTAAATTAAGTCCTCAGTTGACAAAAAGGAAAATGTGCATGGGGCTGAATGGATACTACCTGATTAGTATTCCAAGGAAATCTGCATTAACTCTCCTTGCACACTGAAAGAGCACAGTAGAAAAGCTGACACAGATATAATGAATGTGGAAGCTGTATATGAAAATGCACAGGATAGAGTATTGTAGCATAGTAGAGAATTGTTGTAACTCTGTTTATCAGAGACATACTTTGTACTTAATGTTAAAAACGAATAGTATTGAAACTTTGTACTTAATGTTAAAAACAAATAGTATTGAAACAAAATAGTCTTAATTATAGCCTCTGTCCTTATCCTCTCTGTTAGAATCCAGCAGTTAAATGAAATATCAGTAATTATACAATTTTTTAGTGTGATAGACATATCTTACTGTGATGTCGTAGTGCCAAAAAAAGAATGCTGTGGTAATTTCTCTGGGATTTTATAAGTATATATGGCTTAATGTCAGTTACTGTTATCTTCATATGTACCTAACACGTACAGCTTTAAAATGTTTTTTTTTTTTAAATTCAGTCATACAGATAGTTGTAATCTTCTAGTCTGAGAACAAACAATTTTCAGACAGCATACTTTGTTTTACCTTTATGAACAAATTTCTAGTGGCTTATTTTTTAATTCTTTTTTTAATTGCAGATCGCTTCAGACAGCATACTTTGTTTTACCTTTATGAACAAATTTCTAGTGGCTTATTTTTTAAATTCTTTTTTTAGTTGCAGATCGTTTAGGCTGTGATTCTCGAACACGGTTTCAAGTTCCTCCAAATACTAAACAGTGGATTGCCCTGCTGCAGCGAGGAAATTGTACCTTTAAAGAAAAAATACTGCGGGCAGCTTCACACAATGCTTCCGCTGTGGTAATTTACAACAATGTATCTGGTGAGGAGCCTGTAACTATGACTCATCAAGGTAAAAGCAAGGATGTCAGATCCTTTTCTTTATCCTATCAGCTTCTTATTTACTGCATGTGTGACTTTACTAGAAATTAATAGTATTCAAATGTATGACTTCTTTACAGATGGCATCACAAATACTTAATATTTGCTTTCATTATCAGTCATATCTGTCCTGCAATGTATTTCATTGTCTCATTTGTGTAATTATAATAAACATACCTGCCTGTGCTTAAACTGTTAGTGTCTATCAGCTAGGTGACTATAACACATTGCCATTGCTGCTACATGAGAGCCTCATGAGAATTTTCATGCTCTCTTCTGGGGGATAAGAACATAAAATTCTTCAAAAAATCTCCATAGATTAGTGAAAATTTGGAATGATATTAGAAAATATGTAAATAATGCAAGGTGTACAGAAGTGTTAGATTGTATAAAATCCAGTTTTCTCTCTATTAAGTATGTGCTATTATTAAAAGATTAATTTTAAAAGATAAAAAAGTATTAGGATAGATGGAGAAATGAGCCCAGAAAAAGAGCATGAAAGAGCTTAAAATGTTAGAGGGCCCTAGGGCCCAGAGTAATGAGCGCAAGAAGAAAGGAGAAGTAGAACAAAGGATGATAAAGGGAAAAATAGAATCAGAAATCTTATCAACAGGAATTTCAAAAGGTGAGGAAGATTGAAAGTTCTGTTCTCATTTAACCAACCAATCCTTGGCTGAAAAACTTTGGTTTTGCTTTAAAATTACCTAAATCAGATTGAGGTGATGAGAGAGGAGGTATTACGACTGATAGACAACTTAAAAACTGATAAATCACCAGGCCCGGATGGCATACATCCGAGAGTTCTGAAAGAACTCAAATGTGAACTTGTGGATCTCCTGACAAAAATATGTAATCTTTCATTAAAATCTGCCTCCATTCCTGAGGACTGGAAGGTAGCAAATGTCACTCCCATCTTTAAAAAGGGTTCCAGAGGAGATCCGGGAAATTACAGGCCAGTCAGTCTGACATCGATACCAGGTAAGTTGGTGGAAACTGTTACTAAGGAAAAAATTAGTAGGCACATTGATGAACAAAAACTATTGGGGCAGACTCAGCATGGGTTCTGTAAGGGGAGATCTTGTCTCACTAACCTGTTAGTGTTTTTGAAGGGGTGAACAAACGTGTGGACAAGGGGGACCCAATAGATGTTGTTTACCTTGACTTCTAGAAAGCTTTTGATAAAGTTCCTCATCAAAGGCTCCTAAGTAAGCTCAATAGTCATGGGATAAAAGGACAAGTCCTCTTATGGATTAAAAACTGGCTAATTAATAGGAAACAGAGAGTAAGTATAAATGGGAAATTTTCTCAGTGGAGGGTGGTAAGCAGTGGGGTACCACAGGGATCAGTACTGGGTCCGATGCTTTTTAACTTGTTTATTAATGATTTGGAGGTGGGAGTAAGCAGTGAAGTGGCTAAATTTGCAGATGACGTGAAGTTGTTCAGGATGATGAGAAGCAGGGAGGATTGTGAGGGATCTGTCGAGGATGGGCGAGTGGGCGTCAACGTGGCAAATGGGGTTCAATGTGGCCAAGTGCAAAGTGATGCACATTGGAGCCAAAAATCCTAAATACAAATACACATTGATGGGGTCTGAACTGGCAGAGACTGGCCAAGAGAGAGATCTTGGAGTCGTAGTAGATAACTCAATAAAAATGTCTAGACACTGTGCAACTGCAATAAAAAGGGCCAACGCTATGCTGGGGATTATTAGGAAGGGAATTGAAAACAAATCAGCCAGTATCATAATGCCCCTGTATAAATCAATGGTGCAACCTCATTTGGAGTACTGTGTACAATTCTGGTCACCACACTTCAAAAAGGCTATTATAGCATTGGGAAAAGTGCAGAAAAGGGCAACTAGAATGATAAAAGGGTTGGAACACTTTCCCCATGAAGAAAGGTTAAAGCTCTTGGGTCTCTTTAGCCTGGAGAAATGACGGCGGAGGGGTGACATGATCGAGGTTTATAAGATTATGCATGGGATAGAGCAGGTAGAGAAAGAAGTACTTTTCTCCCTTTCTCACAATACAAGAACTCGTGGAAATGAAATTGCTGAGCAGTCAGGTTAGAACAGATAAAAGGAAGTACTTCACCCAAAGAGTGATTAACACATAGAATTCACTGCCATAGGAGGTGGCGGCAGCTACAAGCATGGACAGCTTCAAGAGATAACTGGATAAACATATGGAGCAGAGGTCCATCAGTGGTTTTAGCCACAAGGTATAGACAGGAACTCACAGCCTGGGGCAGGTGATGCTCTGTACTCTTGGTGCTGGGGGTGGGCAACAGTGGGAGGGCTTCTAGTGTCTTGGCCCCACTGGTGGACCTCCTGATGGCACCTGGTATTTTTGGCCACTGTGTGACAGAATGTTGGACTAGATGGGCCATTGGCCTGATCCAACATTGGCTTCTCTTATGTTCTTATGTAAGAGCAGTAAGCTTAAGCAGACAAAGGTCTTTGATTTTCATTGACCAGTCTTGTCTAGAAGGAATTATCTTCTGTTTCTTCACGCTCAGAAAGACTAATCTAACATCTGTTATCATGTACAGAAACTTGTTTTCCTTTTGACAGAATCAACATAGTTAAGGAGAAAAAAGTCTGTTGTACAAGGAAGAACACCTAATGCCTTTTTATCCAGCCTTTTAAGGTGGCATGCATGATTCTCTGTTCTCTATTTGACATGAGAGTGACAGGCCCAAAGTCATGCAGCAAACGTCAGGCAGGCTTCAATCTGGGTAGTATACCACACTGGCTGTCTACTTGTCCTGCCCCATTTTAGGCTCTGAGTTTGGCCGGTCTGCTACTATATAACATGAGATCGAGTGCTTTCTGAAATGTATTATAGAAAGTGGAGTGTTGTGAATTTCTCTTCTGAATGCAGTTTCTGATTATCTGCATCTGTTCCTGTTGCATTTGTATAACTGGAACATCATCTGTACTTAAAGTGCCAAGCAAGCAATATTTCTCACGTTTACCAAACTGCCATCTGCTATGGCTCAGTGTAATAGTAACCTGTCAATTGAGCTCCTGGGTTTTGGGTTGGTCATTTAACAAAAAGTTCATTCTGGTGAGAGGCTATACCTCAGTGGTAGAAGCTGCAGTTGACACACTCCCAGGATCTCTGCAGATGGGGGTTCATGTACTCTTATCATACACACAGCATGTGAACAGTCCTTTGAGAGGCAAACACATCACAAATATTTCTTTTCATATGACTTCAGCAACCTTAAATCATGGGCTGGATTTCATGGGCTTCTACTTTTCCTTGATGGAATGATCTGCTCAGACACCCAGATCACCATTTGCGCCATCATAAAGTAGCCACATGCTTAATGAAAATTTTGGAAAGGGACATTAATCTTTCTGTTCCTGGTCTTTATCTCTTAGGTAAAATTCAAGCCTTAAAATTGGCTCCTTACCCATCCAGGTGACCAGGTATGCCCCACTTCTGCACAAGAGGACAGAGTCTCTTGAAAATCTATAAATCTTTCCTTCCAAAGAGTTCCTTGTGCCTTTACTTACATGTGGTTCTAGGTTTAAATTGTGGATATAGTTACATAGCAATGTGGGCTGGTAGAATTCCCTGTACACAGGCATATGTAAATGCCTGTCTCTCACATGGCACAAGATGTCTTGTTAGTCATTTGCCTAGTCTCCCACGTATGGTTGATTTCTTGTGCCCACTGCTTATTGTTCCAGCAGACCTTATTATCTGTTTCTCCTGTCTCTCAAAGCCATACGGGCTTCCTGAGATGATGTAATGGTCTGCAAGGATTGCTGAAATGACCTTAGTGTATGCAGAAATCTTGTACTAGGAGAGGCAGTCCTTCAGATATGTGGGTTCTTGTTTGTGAAGTTGTGACGCTCAGGCCTGTTAATGGGGACTCTCGTCTCTCATAATTATTTAAGAGTGGTAGCATACAATAAGTGATTTAAATGCAATTGGTCAATTATATATACTGATCATTATATATTGTGCTGAGGTAAATTGTGTATGTGAGAGCAGCTTCTGGTTCCTGAGGTAAATTATTCTTCCTCCTTCTACTTTAATGACTCACAGAGAAGCATTTAATTTAATTTAACAGAACAACAAGAAGTTTATTGTCACTTCCAAAGAAGGGTAAAAGCTTATTTTGGTTGTCAGATATTATAACTTCAACATGCCCCCAATATTTTACAGTTAAGATGGATGCCAGTTTCTTTTAGAGTATTACAGTGTCACAATATACACTCACAGACTACACCCAAATGACAGGCTACTTTTCCGTGGTGAGAGAGGAGTTTGCTTTAAAGGTTCAGTAAGATCTGTTCCTTTTACTGCTGCCTTAACCCAAGAGATGAAAGCCTGCAGAGTGGATGTTATCTGTTCAGCCTCCACACTTTCCCATTCCAGTTTACCTTAGGACTCAGCTTTGGAGACCAGGATAACTTACTTCTGGATCCTACCCTGATTCAGTACCTAAAGCCTAACCTCCTATCTCCCTGTGATAGCCTACCTTGCTTATCGCAGGATACTTTAACCTATCCTTTCCCTGTTAGGCCCTGTCTTTGTATCTATGCACTTGCCAAGCCCTATCTGTGATACTGACAGCCTTTCTCTCCCTCCAAAACCCCTCTCCTCCCCACTCTCTCAGGCTCCACTGCCTCTTTTTGATGTCACAGGGGATTGGCATATTCCCCTTGAAGGTAGGGATTTGCTGTGACTCCTGGAGGGTGTCCATCACAGAAGGGAGGTGATAAAGGTTCATTGTTATGTTTATGATTTCAGTGTATTTGGAGGAGACTTGTCAAAGCAAAAACAAACATGTCTCTGAAGAGGCAGCATTTACATTTTCTAGACACAACACTTCAATCCAGAAACAAATTGGAAACCAATGTGGGTGCTTTAGGGTTTCCCTTGCTCAAAAGCCAGTCGAATCCGACTCTAGGGTTGCGGTGCTCATCTCCGTTTCAAAGCCGAAAAGCCAGCGCTGTCCGAAGACATTTCCGTGGTCATGTGGCCGGCATGACTAAACACCAAGGTGCACAGAACGCTGTTACCTTCCCACCGAAGCGGTCCCTATTTATCTACTTGCAATTTCTTGCTTTCGAACTGCTAGGTTGGCAGGAGCTGGAACTAGAGACGGGAGCTCATTCCGTCTTGCGGCACCCGGGTCTCAAACTGCTGAACTACTGACCTTCCACAGCCTGCAGTTCAGCGTCTTAACCTCTACATTCATATTATATGCTCAGTTCAGCCCACCCATATAAGCTGATAGGCAGCCACGTCCTGTGATGCTCTGTGTGCAGGAATTTGTCCTGAGGTGGGGTGACAAATTCTGTTGAATAGCCATGGGTTATGGTTTCTTTTACCCATTCATCAGTGGCTGATAAATTTCAGGCTTGATGGAATTTTTGAAGCTGTCCCCCCACCAGAGCTAGCCTGGCATCATTTTTGTTGCTGCCACTGTTTTCCTCCCTTACTGGAGGCTGGTGCTTGGGCCCAATTGTTGTATTGACTTGTGGCTCTGAAGTTAGGCTTGGATTTGATCCACTACTGCTGCTTGGAGCCTGATCTAAATCATGGAAGCGTTCTGTAGGAATGAAAGGACTGTGAACCGTAATGCTTCTGCTGTCTGTCCTCCCTTTTATAGGTGTCTTTGGTCTCAATTAAGGTGTCCTCTTTTTAAAAAAAAATTATTATTATTATTATTATGATTTTGATTTTGTTCAGTCGCATAGTCAGGTCCCACTCTTCGCGACCCCATGGACCACATCACGCCAGGCCCTCCTGTCTTCCATCGTGCTCCGAAGTTTGCTTAATTTCATGTTCATTGCATTGATAACACTGTCTGACCATCTCATCCTTTGCCGTCCCCTTCTTCTTTGACCTTCAGTCTTTCCCAGCATCAGGGTCTTCTCCAGTGAGTGCTCCCTTCTCATTTGGTGGCCAAAGTATTTGAGCTTCAGCTTCAGTATCTGGCCATCCAGGGAATTGATTTCTTTTAGGAGTGACTGATTTGATCTCCTTGCAGTCCAAGGGACTCTCAAGAGTCTTCTCCAGCACCATAAGCAAAAGAATCTACTTTTTGGCGCTCGGCCTTCCTTATAGTCCAACTCTCGCAGCCATACATTATATAGTCATACATATAGTCACAGCCATATATATATAGTCCAACTCTCACATCCTCTAGGGTATCCTCAAATAGCTTGCCACCCAGGAAAGGCCAAGATGCCACTTGAGATTTAGAAAGGGAGTCCACATTTCAGGACTTGAGCCAGAAATGTCTTCTGGCTACCACTGTGGAAGCCATTGCCCTGAATGAGAACTAGATCATGTCCAGGCTAGCATTGGACATGAAGGCTGCTGCCCTCTCCAATCTCTGCATGTACCTTGTCAGGCACTGATTTTAATCTGGGTATTTTTGGGACAATTTTCGAAGTCACATGTATGAGGCTCTTGCCATCAAAGAAGTGGCAGCAGAAGCTTTAATAGAGCAAGCAATGGCCTCATGGGTTTTGCAGAAAGCGGAAATACTTTTTCGATCACTGGGATCTCCCTCCTTTGGAAGAGTAATGCCTGATGCTAAGCTAGTCACAGGAGCATCTACCACCAGAAGTTTCAGTAAGAGCTGGTTACCTTGGGAGGAAAAGAGTGCATTTTTAGCTAGTCTGGAATGAAAACGATTATTGGTAGGTTCTGACCATTCCTTTTCTATTTCAGTTTTTAAAAAAGGAAGGAAAGGGAAATGCTGAACCCAGCTCTGTAACCCTAGAGAACACCTCAGGAGTCCCTTTTTTGTCACCATCATCATCATCTGGTTACTCTTTGGGGATTTCTGCCTTAGGGGCAGAAAGCTGTAGGATTTTTAATGCTTTCTGTAGGAGAGAACTCCTCATGAGACAAAAGGTGGTGGGTTAGCTTGCTCTGTTGAGAGACCTCTTCGTAGTCAGACAGCTGGCCTTCCTCTATCTGAATCTGCTTCAGAATCCTCACAGCCTAAGGGGGAATCCTGGTCTTCAGATCTGTGGTCTGAGAAGCAGCTTTTGTTGGCCAAGAGAAGCTCCGGCCTTTTCCTGTGTAGCTGTGAAGTAGCTAGTTTTTAAAAGATATGTGGCTGGAGAGGAAGGGGTGAGAGGCCTTGCTTCATCTTTTCCGGGAGGCTAAAGAAGGAATTTTTTCTTCTCTGATTGGAGACAAATTGTTTTAGCCAGTCCTGGCTTTCCATGCGGTGGTGAGCTGTTGTCTCCCTTCAACTCACCCCTCTGACTGGCTCAGAAGGCTGAGCTGAGCTGGCCTGATGGGCCAATGCAAGCCATGCCAGCTGTTCAATACAGGGCACAGTTTTGGCACCAGAAATTGAGCCTGCTTCTTCATTATCTGAGCCGGGGCTTTGTGGTCAGTGGCTCTCTCCGGGAACTCTGCTGCAGTGGGACGGCTGGGCAAGTGGGTTTGCAGGGATTTCCTACTCCGCTGCCTGGGGATCGCCTCCCCCAACTCTCCTTCAGAGGAGGTCCCATGGTCATAGACCCCAGTTGCTGACATTGCCATGACTGAAGCAGCGGACAAAAGCAAACAGCCTTGGGGAAGACAAGGCTTGAAGAACAAAGGGTTTTTTGTTTTTTTTTTAAATAAAGGGAAGGGCACACAGAAAAGCATACAAGTGGAAAGGAAAGAATAAAGTGCAACCAAAGGAGCTCCTTAGAGAAAAATCTCAGGAGCTCTCTAAATCCACTGCTCTCTCAGGCAGAGGCAGGAAAAAGACTGAGGGGTGGGCTTCTCTTCCCCCCGGAGATGGAAAGTGCAATCAATTTCCGGCTTCTAGGAATTGTAGGAAACGGAACCCAAGCATATCAGAGTGTCCTTCTCTCCCTTGAGAGAGAAGTGCCCTTTCACATTAGGTTTGGTTCATACACTCTACTGAGTGTAAAGATTTTGGCAGCTGCTTCTAGGCGTCAAATTAAAATTATTTAGAAGTATGTCATTATTCTGTGGTTTAGGGTTCTTGTGTCCATAAAAAAGGGGATAGAAAGGCAGACAGACAGATATTGGTACACTGATGGTGGGTTTATATTGTTGTATATCTGATATTTTACTGATGCAGCTCTTCAAAGTACACTAATGCAAAGGACTTCATTTGTATCCTGTGGCCCTGTTAACTGCAGTATAGAATTGTGCTGGGAACCTTTTCTTAAAGCTCTCTAATAGAGTAGCCAACACTAAAATTAAAGGCAAAGGGATATTAAAAGCAATTTAACAGAACTGTTACCCTGTTCCCTTTCACTGCCAATTTCTTGCTTGACCCCATTCTCTTATCACTGAGCACAGTGCAGATGTTTCTCTAGTTAAGTAACTTGGGAGCTGTGATTGGTAATGAAAATCTTCTGTTACCTTACTACCTAGCTTGTGATGTGGCATAAAGTCGCAATGAATAGTTAACATGTGTCTCTGGGAAATTAAAGTGCTTGGTGTTGGACAATAGTTAGGCATATAAATATGACATTCGAGTTCATTCCTAATATTTCCTGAAACTTCTGGCTGCTAATTAAGTTACATGTAGGGTTTTAATGTTATTGTTTAATTCAGTTACATGTAGGATTTTATTGTTGCTGTTTAAAATATATGCAGTAATTATTGGCATTATCTAAGTTTTTTTGTCTGTGCAGTTGAACCAAACACAGCCCTAACAGAATTGTTTCAGGCACAGTATTTCATTGGTAGACTGTGTTTGGATTGATGCAAGTTATGTGGAAGTGATTTTAGATGTAGATATGAAATATCATATTTACTTGAAAGGAAGACTGTGTATTTGGAAAAATAGGAAGCATCTTAAACTGACATACAAGCTCATTAAAAATTGCCTGTGCCTCTCTCTGTCCCACAGGTCCATGCAGCACTCTGACCCCTTCCCAGTGTATGACCCAGCTGATTGGCAGGGCCTCACTTCTAAGCCTGCTGTGTGCCCTCTGCCTCCCTCATCAGCTGGGTCATGGTGCATAATCAGTACAGTATCTCCTGAGAAGGTAGAGAGAGCAAGAGGAAGTGAAGGGAGGAGGACTTGGGTGAGGTATAACCCCCTCCCATCTGAGGCCTCTTAGAAGTGTGTGGGGGGGATCAGTGGGGCAGGAGTCTACTTTGGTGGCAGGAGCAAGCTGTACCCTTGTTCTTCCCACAGTGAGTTACACAGGGTCCATTCCAGATATGCAAATAGTCCAACCACATGTACATAATTACTGAAAAGTTTATATCCTTTCAAGATAGGTAAATATTCTGTGTATACTGTAACTATCCTTTTTTAAATGGAGTCATCTTTAATTCAGGGTTGGTTGCTTTTGTGTGTGTATGTGTATGCAGCAGTTGTTTTAAAATAAGTGTACATATTTTAGATACAATTTTGTTTTCTTTTGTAGGAACTGGAGACATTGTTGCTGTCATGATAACAGAATCGAAGGTTAAAGAGATCCTGAATTATTTAGAAAAAAACATGTCTGTTCTAATTGAAATAGCAGTTGGAATCCGCGATCAAGCTAAAAATTTTAGTCGTAGTTCTCTTGTCTTCGTATCAATATCGTTTATAGTTTTGATGATAATTTCTTCAGCATGGTTAATATTTTATTTCATCCAAAAGATCAGATATACAAGTGCACGTGATCGAAATCAGGTAAGCATTCTTTGATTTCTACATCATGGAACTATTTAAAATTGAAATACTACATGGTACTGTGAAGTGATAATATTCTGACAGAAATGATATTGTGGTACTAACACCAACCGAAGTCCTACGATATAAAGAGGGGCATATAAATTGTGCTGCTATCTGAGTGTTTGCATGTCTTGATTTTGGGGGCAAAAATAGTGCTTTCAAGAGGACCTGAAATATTTCCTGATAAACTTTCTAACAAGCTAATGTTCACCTTAGTTCAGGCCTCTTGCCCTCCTATCTAGTGCTCTTTCACCTGTGGTGTTTTAAACTGGGAGTTTTTTCCAGGAATAGTCACACAATACAGAGCCAGTCAGAGTTGGCTATTTGCATATTTTCCCAGGGGCAGCTTTAAGGAGTAATGTGGATACACTCAATGGGCAAACACTTCATCCTTTGTAATATAATGTCCCTAGAAAACACTAAGGGGTGTATGAGTTTAACAGTGCTGAAAATGAAAGTCCTCATTTTGGCTCAGCCCTAAATGTAAGAAGCAGAATTATACAGTTTTTATTTCTTGTTTGTTACCTAGGTTTATGTAGTTCTTTAAGTTTGTCCAACAATTGCCTTGGGCTCTGGAGACATCTGAAAGCCTGTGTGAAGTGACACTTTGAAACCTATACTGTGTCATGGAGTGATGTCACATAAGAATATAGGCAACCTTTCTGGAAGTCCATGCTAAGAAGAGGCTAAACTCTGTTAATCCTTCCAAAATGTACTTTACCATTCATTTGAAACTAATTGAGGGCTGGTTCCAATGCAACATACTTTTAATCCTCTCCATGCTAGAATGCAGATCTTTCTGTGCCTTAGAGTATTACAAGTTATGAGCTAAGACTTGTTCATAAGGATTCTGAATCTGAAAGATTCTCAGCAGGTGTCATAAAATATGTATTCGTAGAATTTCATCGGTATGAAGGGAGGGGCCTGCTTACTAAGGGGAAGGTGGAATTCCTTCATTTTAAGTGTAGGAATTTGTTCTGTGGTGTGCAAAAGGCAACACTTTTCTCCGAGAGACAGTGGGAAGGGGCACAGTTCAGTGGTAGAATACATGGAAGGCATGTACAAAATCATAGGCTTCATCTCTGATACATCCAGTTACAGTGGTCTGACATAGCAGGTAATGGGAAAGATGTCTGCCTGTGACTCTGGGGAGGTATTGTCAGAGTAGATGGAACAGTGAGATTGACAAAGGCAGGTTCATATGCATTTAGTTAAGAATTTCCACATTTTTGTCAGCTTCTAAGCCTTTGGAGGTGGTATTATTCTGACAACTGATAGAGAAGACTTCTATATAAAATGTATTGCTTCTGTGTATAGGGCTGCTCATGGATTATGAAGTGATTATTCGAGGGAACTAACTCCTAAATCTTCGACGTGGTCTCTGTGCTTCACACCAATGGGAATCTAGTGCGCACGTGCTGGATCGATCGGTGCTGTAGCAAGCTCTTTTAACGGATTTTCGCGCCCAGTCCCTCGGGCATGCGCAGGAACCCCACCGCGCATGCCCAGAGGGGTGGGTGTGGACATCCCGCCCGTTCCTTTCTTACCGCCGCATTTAGTAGACCTGTTTTTAGTCGCTCAGATCGGATCGGTTCACTTTCGGCTAGTCGCCTCAAAGCTCTTAAGAATTATTTCCTTATTTTATTTTTCCTGTCTCTTCTCTTTTTATTTGTCTCTTATTTTTTTTAAAAAAACCTTTACTTTCCGTTGAGGGGGACTCAACCGATTACCTCAGGCCTTCGGGCTCCCCCCCCAAACGTTCCCTCTTCTTCGCGTTCTTTTATGGAGAAGAAGTGGGGTTTCTTCAATAGGTGCCAGGGCTGCGGCAGCAAACTTGCTCCTCCCGACCATCATACCCTGTGCATTTTTTGTCTTGGAGAGTCTCACCAACCAGAGTCCTGTCGTCACTGTGCTCGTTTCTCCAATCAAACGCGGAAGAACCGAGCTGCACACCTTAAAGTAGCGCTGCTAGAATCGGCCCTTACTCCTGCTTCGGCGATGGAGGAGAGACCATCAACATCGACAGCTCCGACATAGAGACCTGCCTCCGATGCTGACCGCCCGACACCGAAGCTCCCGGCATCAAAGGCGCAATCTTCCGCTTCCATGCCAATCAAAAAGAAGGCCAAGGCGACTAAAGATCATAAGTCCACAAGGAAGGGCACCTCCAAGTCCCTTAAGGTGGCAAAGAAGGGGAAAGAAGCGGTACCTGCACTGGGTGATGCCCCTAAAGTGCTTCCCGCTCCAACGACAGTATCGATATCGGAGGCCAAACTCCCTCCACCGATACCGACCATCCAGCTATTGGATTCCCCCATCCGACAAGTGGAGCGTCCTTACTCCGACATCGACACGGTGGAGCTCCTAAGTCACCAAATGGGTGCAGAGCCTTCCCCTCTCCTTCGACTTCGCCGGCATCGATGATATCGAAGGCTCCCGATGTGGAAACACGTCGGTACCGACACGTTTCTTGCAGTACGCGATGTCATCCTCTGCGTCTCCATGTCCAATCTGTCGATATCGACGACCGAAACTACAGGGACGGTTCTCACAGACAGGCTATTACTTTGTCTCCCAGATGTCCACGGTCCAGAAGTCGCTCCCCAAGAGTCTTCCTGCCCCCTCCACCACCAATATCGTGGGATCAACAACAGTTGAGGTACCTGTAAGGGGCTTATCCACCATACATGCCATGGTTAACTCCGGCGGGCTATTCTGATTGGGACCACTATTCGTCCCACTCTGTTCATAGATCGAGGTCGCCCTACAGGTCGAGACCATCGACATCTCTGTCGCGTCCTCCTCCAGACGATCATCATACTCTGGAACTAAGTCGTCCTCTCAACCCTCCGGTCACTCCAAACCCTGTCGTCCCAACAAAACCGATAACTTGTCAAGAGGACACTTCGGTCCAAATGCCACAACAAGACTCCTCTGACTTCATGGAAGGCATCTGAGGCTCATACCTCTCCTGACCATAAATCTCCCAACCAGGATGTCACTGAGGTCCTGCCCATATCCCCATCTGACAACCTTACGTCATATACAGATTTAGTCAAAAGAATGGCACATTGTTTAGGTCTCTCTGTTGTCCAGCAACATCCACAGGCAACAGATTCAGTTTTTGATATGATTCAGCTTGATACCTCTTCCACCTTGGCATTGCCCATGCATGTCTTCAGTCCTTTTGCAGGCAGCAAAGGCACCATGGCTAAAACCCTCGTCAGCCCCAGTATCCACGAGACGACTGGACCACATGTATAGGGTCCAAGAGGCAGATGCCGAATTCCTATTCTCGCACCCTCAGCCAAACTCAATGGTGATAACATCTTCCTCTAAATCCAAGAGGACACACTTCGCACCTTCTGACAAGGAAGGTAAGAAATTGGATGCCTTTGGCAGACGCTTCTACTCCACAGGAGCATTGGGAGTCAAGGCCACTAACTACCTGGCCTGCATGAATAGGTATCGATATACTCTCTGGGAACGGTTCTCCGAACTTCTGACCCACCTCCCAGAAGACAAACTCCAGGCAGCCAGAGTCATCCAAAAGGAAGGCATGGTGTTGGCAAAACAGCTCTCAACACTACTAAGCATGTCCTCGAGGCATCCTCCAGAACTATGGCCTCTGCAATAGCTCTTAGGAGACATTCCTGGCTCCGCAGTACTAATCTGCCCATGGATACTAGATCTTATGTGGAAGACCTTCCATTTGATGGCCTGGGACTTTTCAATGCCACTACTGATTCTACTTTACAAGAATTAGATAAAAGCATAAAAGCTTCTCGAGCTCTAGGAGTGTCATCCTCTGCGAGGCAACAATACTGTCCCTGCACCTGATCGAGATCTTGGCAGAGGCGTACCCTACGTCATCAGTCTCCGGACTCACAATGGAGACCATGAACATCTTCGGGAGGCCAAAAATCCGCCTTCCAGAAACCAAGATTCGGTTCCGGGCAACAATCTTCCCGCACCAAACAGACCAAACCCTCCAAGCAGGGTTTTTGATTTCCCAGTCACCGAGTCAGGGTTTTTGACTTCCCAGTCACCTTTTCTTCAAACTTGGCGTCACATCACCTCGGACGAGTGGGTGCTGTCCATCTTGACCCGAGGCTACCAAATCCAGTTCCACCAGAACCCCAATACTCCTGTCGTCGTCTCCACGATTCCTTCCCCACCTCTCCTAGAGGAGGTGTCCGTCCTTCTGCAGAAGGGAGCCATTAAACATGTACCACCACACCTCCACGGGATGGGGTTTTATTCCCAATACTTCATAGTCCCGAAGCGAGATGGAGGCGTTCGACCCATATTAGATCTAAGGGAACTGAACTGTTTTGTGACTGGAGGAAATGGGAAAAGAGTGAATCTCTGATAAAGAACAATTATTACAGCTACAAATGGAGAAATTATCGTATGTCCTGCATTTTCAGGGTGTTCCTGAAGGGGGAGAATTTAAAAGAAATACTAAGCGAAACATTTGCACCAATGGTAGGCTCTAAAGTGGAAATAATTCAAAGCAAGCTAGACTTGGTCTATAGAACCTATCCAGAGTACATTAAGAAAAATAATCTACCTAGTGAAATTTTTGTTAAATTCTCCAAAAGATCAAGCAGAGACGCAATCCTTAAAGCGGCAAATGAGAAAGCACTGAAAATTAAAGGAGAAAAAGCGAGGACCTTAAAAAATATTCCATTTGAAATACGAAAATGGAGACAACAATATAAAAATCTAATTTCATTTCTACAAAATCATTCCATCCCCTTCAGGTGGATTTTTCCAGAAGGGCTTATATTCAACAAAAGCGGCAAAAAGATGAAGACCGACTCTCTACATAAAGCAAAGAAATTTCTGGAACAACAGTCAAAACCGGCGGATAAAGGGAAAACAGAGGACAACGTACAAGAAGAAGAGAAGAGCTCACAAGACTCAGAAGACAGCTCAAGCGTGCCTGATAGTTC